AATAAAAACAATTATATATATATATTACAAACAACTCTTGGAATGATAAGGGTTTTTTCAAAGTTATGACTTGTTATCTGAAATGGTACTGAAAAATTCTTGGCTCAACACAGAAGAAATTTCCTCCCCAAATTCTGATGTCAGATTTTGGCAAATGGCTTGAGTATCCCTTGTATATTTGAGGCATAATTTAAAATCCATTTTAAATAGCTATTTAATACTAAATTACAATTACAATATTGCTACAGGATTTTTTACAAACAAGATTTTAATGTAGAAATGCATTATGAAGAAAGGAAATGGAATTGTTAGTAGTTAGGAATTAATATTTTAAAATTATAAATTATTGTGAATAATTTTTCTGTAAAAATGTTATGTAAATGATTTTTTTTTATGAATTTATAGCAAATGATGAAAAAAGGATTGTCAGTGGTTAGGAACCAAAGCTATCATTACTGACAGAATAAGGCTATTATATGTAAAAATATAAATACACTGGTAATGTTATTTTTATGTGAAGGCATTGCAAATAGTTTTATTATAGAAAAGCATGGAAAATTAGTAACAATCAGAAATTATTAGTCATTGACAAAATAAATATAATTATAAATTGTTATTTTCTTGATTTTTTTTTTTTTTTTTTTTTTTTTTTTTTTCAATGCTGACATTTTTTTTTTCATGAAGAAATCAAAGGATCCTGTTGCAAACCTGGTTTCCTCTTTCCACACTTTCTTTCTGGGGTGGGGTGGGGGTTGTAGTGATTTTATAAAGTTATATTTGGTTCTCATACCTGTTTCAATTAGGAAGCACTAATTAAATGTTGTCTTTTATTGCTGTCTTTTGCAAACTTGTATACCAGACACATGGAAATACATAGAAATACAATAGAAATATATAGAAATACAATAGAAATGCACGGAAATACATGGAAATACAATAGAAATACATGGAAATACAATAGAAATATATAGAAATACATGGAAATACAATAGAAATATATAGAAATACATGGAAATACAATAGAAATATATAGAAATACATGGAAATACAATAGAAATGCACGGAAATACATGGAAATACAATAGAAATATATAGAAATACATGGAAATACAATAGAAATATATAGAAATACATGGAAATACAATAGAAATATATAGAAATACATGGAAATACAATAGAAATATATAGAAATGCACGGAAATACATGGAAATACAATAGAAATGCACGGAAATACATGGAAATACAATAGAAATACATGGAAATACAATAGAAATATATAGAAATACATGGAAATACAATAGAAATATATAGAAATACATGGAAATACAATAGAAATACAATGGAAATACAAACTTTGTTTAGAAATAAGTTAAACTCTCAGCCATTTTCCTTTATCTCCCAAAGTATTATAAAACAAAAAAAACAAGGAAGCAACTTGATTTTCTTGTATCAGTCCTGTCCTTTATGAAACCTTGTTTTTATGAGACCAGCCATTTAAAGCTCTGTTATAAAAATGTTATCATTGCTAAATACTTCCCTTCTGTCAAAGTCAAGTGTGTTTACTATCAACAACCAGTGAATGGATAATAAGCTATCTTTGTCACTTGCAGATTTAAATCTGGTTAAATTTGATGAGTGTTCGTTGGCTCTGCATTTGATATAATTCATCGAATGCAGTCAATGGCAAACTGTCAGCCATTTGGATTTCTTAATGCTATGCCTAATTTCATGAGAAAAATAACATTTATTAAAATTTTGTTTCGTTTTATTCCCATTAGCATGCAAGAGTTGTAATGTATAGCAGCTCAAAATGAGAAATCGGAGAAAGGCAAGTTTGATTACCAGTTCAATACCAATTGTTCCACTTTGGTAACTAACCTCAGAGAAGGAAACAACCATTTGGTGTACTAATGGGAAGATAAGAGCAGTAGTAGCAAAAGTTGGGCAAAACTGGCACAAATCTGAGGGGGCCTCAAGAAAATACTTTTAGGGGTTGGAGGTGGCTTCTTTACAAAAAGTAGAGAGCAAAATTATGAGTCAGTATTTTATTGAAAAAATATGACTAAAACCTGTTCCAAAGCAGCTTAAAAGTGCATTTTTTTAACTTTCATTGAATCAAAATGCGCAATGAATTTCTCAAAGTCTAATTCTCATGCCAAATCACACTTGATCGCAAGAGTTGCTAAGTAAGACACGCTCCTTAAAAAGTCTTGTAAGACATGCTAGATTGAGTTTGTTTGTCTCAGCATCTCCTTTTCTGACCGGGGAGCCTCAAAATAAACTGAGTGCCGGAACCTTGAAAATTCTCTCCCCAGTACTGGATAGGAGTAGTGTGCCATGGGCAGAAATGGCCTGTCCATTTCCACAGATGACCACAGCCCCCTTTAGATGATATGCCTTGGTCATGAATACCCAGCTTTTGTAGGTCATCTCAAATCTTCCTCCCCAGGAAAGCATCTTCATCAAGGACATCATATGTCCAGTAATACAATGTATTAACATTGCCTTGAAACACATATAGTATTGGCTTAAATTGTATCATCTTGAATGTGCAGGTGGTGTAATGGATAATGGTTCAGAATTGTTAATCAAAGAGCCCAGTTCCAATTCCTGTTGGGTTCATTATATTCACTTAAACACAAAAATATTCTTAAGAAAGGTATGATTCATCTCCTCCCACATATGGGTTAAATAGCAGGACCTGTATCCAGCAAAACCATTTTTATTTTAAAAAAATATTAATATAATAATTACTTGTGAAAAGAAAAAAAAGAATTGTTCTTACAATCCCAAATAGGTTTCAGCTTTAAATAACCAGAAAAGGGTTGATAAGCCGTAAAAAAGAAATTATTATTGCAATCCAAAATATATTTCAGCTTTAAATGACCCACAATGTGCTGTAAAAAAGGGACTTATTATTGCAATCCAAAATGTTTTGGCTTTAAATAACCTACAATGGGTTGATAAATTGTAAAGAAGAAGAAATTATTCTTACAATCTAAAATATGTTTCAGCTTTAAATAACCTGCAAAAGTTTGATAAGCCATGAAAAGAACAAATCAATCAATCATTTGTTTTGTTCTCACTTGTTCATTCATGCTCTCTCACATATAACCATATACATAAACAAAGAGCAAGGACAATGTTTCTTGAATTTTGTAACCTTTTGTTGAAAGTCACGTTGTCAGCATTCTAAACCATTGGCAATTTTCACTAAGGAAGGTCATACATGTAAACGTCTTTTGCTTTAAAAACAGGAAATGGTCAGAAGAATTTCTTTTTGTGGAGAAGAAAAACTATCTTTCTTTTTAAAAAAAATCATTGCATTTTCAAATGAATAAATTAGAAGCAAATCATGTACAATGTTGTGTGTTAATCCCACCATCATCAATGATATTATGTCAAGACTTCAGTTTTTTAATTATAGAAAGACAAATGTAATCTTTTCCTATTTCTGAGGCAGATGGTTATGTATGGTTCTCTGTACTGAAAATGGCTTAGGTACCTTCAACGAATAATTGCCATTAAGTTTTTTAGTAGTGTGGCCCATTTTATAATTAACCATATCCCACATAGCCGACTACTCAAAAAGGTTGATATATAAAGCTCAAAGTTTGTGTGTACGTACACAAAACCCTGAAAATGATTTAAATATATACAGTTGCTATAAAGTTATTTCTGTGTGTGTGTGTGTGTGTAAATATGTAAACCTGTGACCTCAAATAAATACAGTTTTATCCTTTATATTTACTGGTATGTGTCTTTTATCTGTCTCAACTTAGTGGTTCTTGCTTAATGAAAATAAAAGAAATTCTTTGGTTATTTATTTTCAATCTAGTCTTTTGTGAACTTTATAAATAGGTGATTGTTTTGCTGATGGCTTTCATAATTAAATCCAGTTTCTCTCTAAACAATCTTAGCATTTAGATCACAGCTCGTTAGTAAAGAGAAATAAGTAAGATATAAGGAAAAGTATGCCGTATTGACATTTTTTAATAATTATGTCCTGGAAATTTGATAAATGTTTTAAATGATACTATGACAACACTTTATATAAAATAAATGACTATCAAAATATTTTTGGTCTATTTAAATATTTTAATGGAAACAAAAAACCAATGAGTTTGTGTGGAAAGTTATATGGGATGTCAGGATCCACTTCATGCCACACTCAGAGAAAAATGGCATGGTTTGGACATATTACAAGGCAGGACAGCTTGTGCAAAACTATCATGCAAGGCACCGTTGAAGGCGGATGTAGGAGAGGATGCCAACTGGTTGGATAATATCAAAAAAATGGAGTGCTTTTCATTTGAGAAATATTTATGTGGATCTTGGAAATCTAAACAAATCTCCTAGTTAAGTCCGGGAAATCCAGAGCAAAGAAAAATTTTGTTACAATGGATCCCAGGGGAAAATTGAAGGAAAATAAAAATCTAGGAAAATACATGCAAGAAAAGATCCAAAAAAATTGTGACTGTTGTGCGCATAATTATTAGAACACTTGGAACAGTACCAAAGATCCTTTCAAAGAATTTAGAAAAATTGGGAAAGAAAGGAGAGGAAGAATCCAAGTCATCCAGACGATAACATTCCTAAAATCAGTTAGAATATTGACAGGAGTGCAGGAATATTGAATAGACTTGCTGTCACTTAACCTGCAGTGAAAATCAGAAGATTCTGTTGGTGTGAACACTCGATGAATAATTATAATTTCATGGTGAAGATTATGTTCAAACCAAAAGCTGTTCCAGAAAATACAGTAGTTCTCAGTCTGAGATCATGTTCCTCCCCTTGTGATCCAGGGTTTCTTCAGTTCCTCCCCAATTTTGAATTATCATCTCATTATGATTTTCACCATTATACTTTTACCATAATATTGAAACAATTTCTGTCAACAAATTGCTTTCTAGGAAATATGTATTGGTGAATGATAATATTAAAGCAATAACCGTTTTTCTTTTCCTGAAAGTAAAAATAAATATTCTTTTCCTTTCAGAGACCCAACGAACGATAGGTATTAAGATAACTGATTTAAATCCTCATTTAACCTGCATTTTATGTGGTGGATATTTTATCGATGCCACAACCATCATCGAATGCCTTCACCCGTGTAAGTATAAAGCTTTTTCTTGTTCCTGTCTGTGACTTCAAAAAAGCATTGAATTGCACTTTTTATTAAAAGTTAGAGGTTACACAGTTCTTGAATAAATCAGTAGTGATGCATTTTTTTGCTAAATGCTTGTCACACGATCACTTTTTTATTTCTTATTACTTTTTCTCTTTTTTACACCGAAGAGCCTTGCTCACCATTTTTAAGTTTTGACAAGTTTTGACTTTCCTATTTGTTGTGGCCTTGTTAGGGCCAGAAATAAAGACACAAGAGAGAAATTGAGTTAAAGAAATATATTAACAAAAAAGAATAATACAAACATCTACAAACAAGAGTGTCACAGGAAGAATATTCGGTCCGATTGTCAGAGCTGACTGCTGGAAACTTCCCTCTCCAAAAGGCAGTACCTGCTCCTATTTATAGCTGGGTAAATTACCATAACATTATTGTAACCAGAGGTAAAGAAAAAGGAAGCTTTATATAATATTCTGCATTTTTTCATTGTATTACAAGTATAACAATACAAATTCCAGTACAGGCTTCCTTTTCTATCCAAGAACTAGAAAGTTCTTTGAACCCAAAGCATATATATAAACCAAAGAAAACAGCATTAATTTGTATGGTAAAACATTTTGAGCCTTTATAGCTCAAAAATTAAACTGGTATAGGCTATTTTTAATATTTTACCTATCTATAAGTCTCCTATTCATCCATGCTTAGAATATTTCTGTTTCGGTGCCCTACTATTTACCTTGATCTCCTTGATAAGATACAAAGAAGAATCTGCAATATTATTGGTCCTGATATGGCAACTCGGCTCCAGTCATTTTTCCACCATCGTAAAATTGCCTCTCTATGTCTTTTCTATAAATACTTTCATGGTAATTGTTCGGATGAGCTCTTCGCTATGGTAACTAGATTTTTTGAATTTAAGCTCAGTACTAGACTGGCGTCAAGATCTCATCAATTTATAATAGAGCTGGCTAGATATAACCGTAAGTTCTATGCTAACAGTTTCTTCTCTTGTACTTTTCACTTGTGGAACTCCCTTCTGTTTCCATGCTTTCCAGCTAACTTTAATCTGCAAAAATCTAAATGCAATGTCAATTGCTATCTACAGTACTCCTGATTACTCCTTTCTTTTCTTGCTCATTATTAATATTCAGTTATGTGCCATGCGTGATACATGCTTAGGCGATCATGTAACTTTCAATACATGACTGACGTGGCAGATTTTTTCCTGCAGTAGATTGCCATTTCTTTCTGCGGTAGACCATTTGCCATCCAAGGCTATAGAACCCGGTCTGTTCTTCTATTTACCCATAGTTTGAGGGAGAAGAGAATTCATGCCTTTCCCAAGGGTATTAGCATGTAAGTGAATGTAATGGATTCGACTGAAATTTGAACTCGGCTCTCCGATTCCTCAATCCGAGATGTTATCCATTATTCCACTGTGCCTCCCCATTATTAATGTCCTGAATTAGGAACATTATCAATGTCCTGTTCCTAATTCTTCCACCCCCTTTAACCCCTTGTGGCTTTACTGCTTTGCATAGGTCGATATTGATTTAAAAAAAAAAAAAAAAAAAAATGTAACCCAGTAAAATCTGCCATATAGGCAGTTGGTTGGTTAGCATCTAAACCAGCTCCCCACTAGCATTTCTGCTGGTTAGGAGAGTGGCATTTCAACCTAGAAGATGAAAAACAAGACCTGTCAAAGGGCAGATGATCTTTTCAGAAGAGCCAATGCCCACTATATATAAGGCTAGGATGCACTCTCAAGCATTGAATGGCAACCTTCCTAGAGATGGTGTCTTGATAAAAACACTTGGTGTACTTGTACTACAGTGATTGTCTTGATTTGGGTGTCAAGAAGAACATTTAGCTTATGGTCTATCAAGCAGGCTTCACCTTGCTTTGTGAGAGATTAATCCGTCTCATGCCTCACCAAAAACCACATCTATGTATATATGTATGTCGGATTTGGGCTGACACATCTGGAAACCCTTTGTTTATTTTGAAAAGACATTGATTTAGGTTACATGATTGCAAGGAAACAAAAAAAAAACAAAAAAAACTGATAGAATGTGTGAGCCTAGGCATTTAAACATACTTTATTTCAATTCTTTCACAGCAGACTATGAACTTCAATCTTCAACACTGAATTCCAAGTTTCCCTTTCAATCCAAAAGATAGTACGTCCTGGGTAAGACGATAAACTACATCCAGCAGCAAGGCCTCTGATCAGGAGGTTTTGAGGAGCATGGAACCACCTTTTAATTGCTGGTGTTCCCAGATCCACCATGATACAGAGTGGTAGCACCATTATCTACTGTCTTTTCAATTTCTCTTCTCTTATTATCCTCGCTCCTTAATATTTCACTTTTTCTTGTTCTTCTACACTCAGTAACCCCTTGTGGCTTTATTGCCTTGCTTGGGTCTGAAATGGTTAAAAAAAAAAAAAGAAAAGAAAAGCACTGGTTTAAATAAAAAAAAAAAAAAAAAAACATGTATTTGAAATTAATCTGGAAGTTTTATGGAGATCGCTTTAGTTGTAGATATTGGAAGAGTTTTCTTTCTATAGTCAACTAATTTTAGTTCTATTTCCTTTCAGGATGTGGGTGATGATGGCTCTCTACGACTTCACTTTTTTATTTTATTTTTTTTAAGTGGGGGGGGTGCTTTATGTAACACCTTTAGCTGATACTAGATCAATTACATATAGAAACAACATAATAGAATATATGTTTTTTTTTTTTGTTTTTTTATAAGGAACGTAGAGTTTCATCTTTACTTGGATTGCTAAATCTTTGCAGAAAAATTAAAACTGAAGTTGCTTAAATTGTTTATGCTTCATTCTAATAAATAGAAAAAGACATTTCAATGTAACAAAATTAGTAGAATTGATAGGATTCTTGAATACAAGTATAAAAATAACATGTTCAGTAACTTACTGTTTGTTTTCACTCTTTTCTTTCTTTGTTTCCTAGCAACAAAACTTGCTTAAGATTTTGTCAAATTTGACTATAGTTGCTTATAAAAAAATTATGCATATAGAAAAAAGACATTTAAACATATGGATGAAAGACATTCTTTAATGTAACTTTCTATGTTAGTAATTAGCCATATGCAAAAGAAAACATTAAGTTTATTTGATAATCTAAATAAAAACCAAAATTCTTTTACTAAAAAGGAATACAATCAAAATAAAGACACTGATCAAAAAAGTCATTGTATAATAGTTATCATTTTGTTCATGCTTGTGCTTTTCTTTAGGCCAGAAGTTGGTAACGTTTTTGCTTTTGCTGGGTGGATCATGTAATGGGTGTTTCATTAAGATGGATTAAAGTCAGCAGTAAATAAATCAGTGTTATTGGTGAAAATTTATTTATTTCTCTATTGGATTATGTTAGTTAAGTCATGGCAATTATGCGTGAAAAATAATATCGCCCAAATGTCTGCCAAATCTGAAAGAAAAAGAAAAAAATCATTAGACGCTTAAACTTAATTCACATTTAAAATTGGTTCAAGTTATTGGAACAGCTTTTATTAATAAGTGGACAGTCCATTTAAACATATCTTTGCCTCAAATCAGTGAGAAAATAATTTGCATTTAACAAAGAATACCAGTTAGAAACCAAAGAAATTTATTACATTAAGGGATCTTTTGAGTCTGTTAAAAATAAATCCAGGCATCTTTGGGTCTATTAAAAATAAACCAAAGCATCTTTGTGTCTATTAAAAATAAACCCAGGCATCTTTATGTCTATTAAAAATAAACCCAGGCATCTTTATGTCTATTAAAAATAAACCCAGGCATCTTTATGTCTATTAAAAATAAATCAAGGCAGCTTTTGAGTCTATTAAAAATAAACCCCAAAATGTTTAAAACATAATAAGAATAATCTTGATGAATGAGAGCAAAAAAGGAGACTGATCTAATTATAATATAAACAGCAGTCAATGAAAAAAAAATATCCAAACAAGTTTGGTTAAAAAGGACCAACAAGGTGTGGATGTTTAATATTTTTCCAGTTTTCAGGTAAGGTGTTGAGTATTTTGCTTGAAGTTGTGGATAAACTGTCTGAAATTTACTCTTTTTTTTTTTTTCTTTTTTTTTTGTTCAAATAGAGTCATCATCAATAACAAATATAGTCTCAGTTCTTTTTAATCAAATTTGCTTGGATGAATATTTGCTGCCTAAATATACCTCATACATACATATATACACACTTACCCCTTATATTAAATTGAGAAAAATTTTATTTGCTCATCTGTGTATGCATGCTAACACACGTATATACAGTTGCTAATATCTAGTTAATTAGTTTATCCACATTGATATATATATATATATATATATATATATATATATATAGTTATTTGGTTTATCCACATTAATGCATACATATCACATATACTAGTTTTTGGTTTGGATCAAAACAGAAACTGGTATGAATGTAAAAAATGGGACCATTATAACAAGATGAAATCTGAGGCTGGTGTAAAAGTTAGGAGCTGGAGGCCAGTGTAACAAGATGGAACCTGGAATTGGTATAAAACATAACCTGAGGTCAGGGCCACAAGACACCATGCATTTAAACATCAGTGTGGTTTCATGAAACACTAAGAATAAGGAAAATATCATTTGTGGACAGGATAAGCATATTATTCCAATATTTGTTTGCAGGTCAGTCAAAATCCCATTGCAGGCTGGATCTCTTCTCTGGGTTGCCTATTCCTAATATCAGCCAATACCCCAATGTGCTATAAAATCAATCTCTCCTTCTTCTGTTCATAAAATAGACTTGAATGTTGAATTTATTTTTATTTCTTACCTTTGCATGCATACCTGCTTTGGTTTGATTTTTTTTTTTTTTTTTTTTTTTTTTTTTTTCTTTTCAAACCTGTTTGCACTCTTTCTTTTTGGAAACTGCATTTTGACTTGAAATTTTTTGTTTCTTTACCCACCTTCCAGTTTGTCGTGCTTGTATAGTGCGTTACTTAGAATCCAGTAAATTCTGCCCCATTTGTGAAGTGATGGTTCATAAAACTAGACCCCTACAGAATATCAGGTAATTTTTGTTTTTCATTTTCTTACCTATTTGCCACCTTCTTTTTTTTTATATATTTTATTATTTTGTCTAATTTTATTGATTTGTTTATTTCAGTTGTCAAATTTCCTTGTATATTTTGTCTACCTGTGTTTTGAAACATCCCTCACATTTACTTGGAGCTTTTGTTTTGGGAAAATTACAGAAAGCACATTGGTCAATCAGCTTTTTTCCGAAACATAAAAATATGACATAAAATCATTTAAAAATGAAGCATAAAATCATTTAAAAACAAGGCACAAAAATCTTCTAAAAACAAGACATAGAATCATTTAAAAACAAAGCACAAAATCATCTAAAAAACAAGGCGTAAAATCATCTAAAAACAAGGGATAGATCATTTTGGTTAATTATTCAATTATTTCTTATCCTGTTTCCACTTTTTCATATGAATAAGATCAATCTACCCCTGAAGATTGCATAAAGGATTCATTACAAAATTCTCTGCAGTTTAACATATTGACCATACCTGAAGAAAGCTGGGTGGTACAATAGTCAAAACATTATGAAAGATGGGGGTCATCAGTCTGACTGTAAATAATATAAATTCCTTGGGCCAGAAATTCAGACAGGAACTGAAGTTCATTGGTGAAGAAAGTTTAGAAATATTATCTCAGCAATTTAATTGATTGATGCAAAAATTTTCACTATTTTTTTTTCTACAAATCCTTTTCTTCATCTTAATTAAAATATTCAGTTATCAGATTATTTCCCTAAAGTCTGCATTCCAGAATATAAAGGAGATCTAACATTTTCCAACATCTTTTGACAAAATCCTTTTATTCATATAAAACCCTGGTTTTATTATTCAGTCGTTTTATCCCTGGTGTTCTATGAGCTTCTGCCATCTTAGAATAAAATTGCATCACACTAAGGGTACTTTTGTCCAAAACTATCAGATACTACAAAGCCACAATTTACTAATCTAAAAACTCCAGCCTTAATAGCATTGTCTGATCTAGACTTTTATATGGATGTCATGCAGGGTTTCCAATTCAATCCAAAATTTTTCTCTAAATTTTTGGGATGAGAAGTTGTCATTATTTACACTATTTATATTCAGACTATTATCCACATCTTTGTTGTTGTTATCACCTGATTGCTTTCTGTCTGAATTTCTTGGATGAGAAGTTATCATTATTTACACTATGTATATTCAGACTATTATCCTCATCTTTGTTGTTTTTATCATGTTTTGGCCATTGTGATCTCTGGCTTTCCTCAAGTGTATATCTAATCAGCGGCCAAGGTTAGGTTTAAGGCTTTAAGTTTACTCTAGATATTTGTCTAGTGGTTAAAAGTGTTGGTTTGTGAATTTGGTAACATAGTGTTTGTGAGTTCAATTCCTGGGTCAGGTAGTGTATACTTGCACACAATGGAAACAGGCATGCAAACAATATTAAATTAGAACTAGATGAGATATCTCTAAATATGAGCAGTGGAATGAGAACAGTCTACCCACATGGATTAAATAAAGGGAATTCCCTTTAGCTTACCCAGATCAATATGCGCATGAGGAAAAGTGCACAATGACCGAAACTGAAAAACAATAAAGATGAGGACAATAGTTTGAATATAAATAGTGTAAATCATTCAGAACTGAATCTGAACTATAATCCATATACAACTGTTTTCTCAATAATTAAAAATGGCTTCAAGCAAATGAATCCATTAGCTCTTAATCCTTTAGCATTCAAACACACTCAAACCTGCCCCATAAAAATCGGCTCTGTTTGTAAGACCACCTGTATTATAAGTGATGATGTCATGGGGTGGGTTGAACATTGAGAGCTGTGTTTGGGGCAGGTTGAATGCTAAAACGTTAAAAAGATTATCTTCTCTATAGACTGGCCTGCAGAATCAGAAAGAAATTTACCAAATTACAGAAATAGCAATGCTTGCAGACTACCAACAGCATCAACAACTAAATAGGATAGCACATGTTACTAGAAGGGAAAATAATTTATACACAACCTTAAACAAAAGGTTTGGAAGGAAACTTAATCAGTACTAGAAAGAGCTATAACAGTTAATAGACTTGAAGTCTAATTTCCTGAAAACATGTTTTAAGAAAAAGATTTTATAAATTTCAACCAGCAATAATTCTGATTTTTTAATCAATGAATGCAGAATTTTTCCTTGTCAGGGAACTACTAATTTTACCATTACTGTCATGTTGATGGAAATGAATGTTTCCTTATAAGGAAATGGATAATTTTACCATTACTATCATGTTGATGAAAATGAATGTTTCCTTATAGGGAAACTGCTAATATTAGCATTACTATCATGTTGATGGAAATGTTTCCTTGTAAGGAAACGGCTGATTTTATGATTACTGTCATATTGATGGTAATGAATGTTTCCTTATAAGGAAACTGCTAATTTTACCATTACTATCATGTTGATGGAAATGTTTCTAGCATTTTTTGGGGACAAAATAAGTTTCCCTCTGAATCATTACAAATGACAACATATTTCACTGTTTGCTCAAACAATAAAGTGCTGAGTCATCTTTCAAAACCTGTTTTTGACATTCTTCAAAAGAGCAGCTATACAAGTGTGTATTATATTAGCAGAAGAACTTCTCCAGAGATGAACAGGAAACCAATTCCTGTCAACATTTGCTTGGACTTGACGATATAATTGGGGTGACATGCTCATGGGTGGGTCAACTCTTCACCAATATGGAACATGAAATACTGGTTTAGAAGGAAAAGATTCTATGATCATGTTGCATTCATCACCATTAACTTTGATAATGCAGCAGTGACATTGAGGCGAGAGTACTGGGAATGGTGGATTCATGCCTTTCTAAAGGGTATTAAACCATGGTTTTATTATTGGTATGTACACTGAGCATGTATGTATGTGTGTGTGTGTGTGTATACACACACACACACAGTTTTCGAACTGACAACCATGAAAAATCATGAACAACCTAAATGCATCTTTTGTTTTTAACGCTGGTGCTATGAAAAATGTCTTCGATTGTTTTTGACAATACTGAATAAAAAATCTGGTTTTAAAATATTGCAATGATAATATTACACATCTTATAAAGAAGCATTTGGCATTCATTGACTGATCAGTCAGTACTATTTGGAGTTGAAACTTATAAAATCTTTCTCTTACAACAGTTTTCCAGTAAAATAGGTTTCTCAAATCAAGTAGCTATTATTACTATTTCCAGTATTAATGGGGGTTTCCTTCCTAACCTTTTGTTTGTAATAATGTGGAATATCAACATCTTGATTATGTTGTTGTTATTATTTTCTCTTTGAATTACATGTGCTATCCATTTGTGGTGAACAGCCTCGTAGAAGCAAGTGAGCCAGAGTGGCTTGCATCTGGTGCATAGGAAAATAAGGGTCTTATCTTAACATGCAGCACATGACATCGGCAAGTTTGCTCCATGAAAATGGCATTACTCTCCTGTCCAGCGATTCCACCAGTGTTTGCGGTAATAAGGGTTTTTGTACAGTTTGGTATGCTTCCACCAATAGCAAATTGTGTGCTGATTGGTCGAACTGGAGGAGGCTATTTGCCTGGGTAACTGAGAATAAAAGCGAAGAACGCTGATTGGTTGGTTGACCGCAGTGTTGGCCTTATAAAAGAGGGCTGAAGCAGTGAAAACGGCAGAAGAAAACTCGGATTTACATTGGGAAGTGTGCAGAAAGCAAGAACGGTGAATTGTACCATCGGTATCTTGATTTGTACAAGTGACGTTGTAGTAATAGAGACTCATTTAAATTACACCATTTTAGTTGTTGTTGGAAGTTCTCAAGTGATATGGTTTCTATTATTTGGTACCGTTCTTTGTTTAGTGCCAGTCCACAATGTCCAAAGAAGTTTAGTTCTTACAGAGACCCACATGCTTCACCTGCTCAGAAAGCAGTTGCATACCACTAACAGTTTAGATATTTCTGAACAAGTTTGGATCCATGCATAACATCCATATGAAAGCCTCTGTCTGACAAGGTTATTTAAATATGGCTCAAGTCTTCAGGTTAATGTTTTGGTTTTGCAACAATTTGTGGTGTTGGGTGAAACTATCTCTTGTGCGACCTATTCTATTAGATATTATAAATAAGAAAGTGAAGGTCTTTTTCAAGAAGCCATAATAATATTTAGCAATTAAACATAAAGTTTAATAATATAGCCAATGAAGTTTACAATTTCTTAGCTAAATTCATTTCCTCATTCAATCGACATGCTTCTCATTGCAAATGAGAAAGAGAGGAATTGTCAGTAGTCATGATTTAATACAAGTATTACTGACAGAGCAAGACTTTTATATGTATAATGTAAATGCATTACTAACAATTTTTCTTTTGGTTAAAGTCATTAATAGAAAAGTTAATTCTGACATTCTAAACTCAAGGGAAGCTGACATGTTTTATCGAAGCTCCAAAGATTTAATAAATTTTAAGTTTAGCAAAAAAAACATGTGAATATTGCTTAAAAGTAATTAATTCACACTTATTACTGTTTATTTAATGTATTATATATTTTATAATTATATTTATTCATATTTATATATGTATTGATTATTATTTATTTATTTATTTCAACTTTTTCCAGTGACTGGGTTTTTCTGTATTAGTATTTGTTTGTTTTCTTTCCCAAAGATCATTTGTCATATTTTTACTTTTTGTTTTTACTTACCTAAAGTTATAATTATAAACTTTGCCTTTTCTGCTCTCGTTTATTTTTCATTAATTTATCATTTAGGTGTTAGTACTGTTAAAAAGTTAGTATAGATTATTTTTATTCTATGTAATAAATAAGGAGTTCATAATTTCTTGAGTATTTGAGGCTTAAATCCTGCTTTGTATTCTTATTTTCCTTTCTTTTTTTCAGTTATCAAATTTTCAATATTGTTTATTTATGTACAACTGTTTTATAATTTATTTTTAATTTAAGTTATAACTTAATTTATAACTTAATTTATAATTTTA